AGAGAGAGAGAGAGAGAGAGAGAGAGAGAGAGAGAGAGGGACGGGAGTGAAAAGTGGACAGAGAGAAGAAGGAGCTGAAGAAGCAGCAGATCAGAGACAATAAGAAGCAGACAGGAAGAGACGGAGATAAAACAGACTGAGAGCTGGAGACAGGGACTCCACTTCCTCTCAGATGTCAGCTGATATTCCCAGCTGGCTGCAGGCTCTGTAATCACAGACTCTCTGGTGCTGCTCGGCTCGCAGTCACCAGAACATTCAGGTTCACAGATGTCCGGTGAGGTCCTCAGACACAGAGCTGTTAGTTCCCAGACGAACTCAGTGGCTTTATTACAGGGAGGGGTGTTTTCGAGGAGATTATTTAGGGAAAGATGTTGTGAGGTTGGGTCTGAGGGTCTGCTCAGGTGACTGTTAGAATGATCTGGATTGAATAGTTTAAACTATTTTTGTTTTTGACGATAAACTGAGAGGATGTCCTTCATCTGGAACGAACTTGATTTAGTTTTTTTTTCATCCAGTCTGATTTTAGATTGTATAGGCACTTTGATGCACTTATTGTCTAACCCCAGCAGTGCATCAATCAGATTTTTTTGATCTTCCATCACTCTTTTAATGCTTAGACCCCCCTTATTATTTCAAAAATCTATCTAAATGTTTTATCTAGTTTGTTTTTGGTTTGAAAAACTTGTGAAATTGTGACGCAGCGGACTCCACAACTGTTTTTATGGTAAGGAAGTAAATACTGCACTTGCTTCCTAATTTTTAACCTTTGATGCCCTCTAAATCCTTAATGGGTGGTCCTGTTACAAAAAACGGAATAAAAAAAAGAAAGTTTTGGAATCAGTGCATAGAGCCTTACAAGTAAAAAAAAAAGGAAAAATGGCTCTAAAATAATGTTAATAAAATTCTCAAATAGCTGCTTTAAAAGTTTCAAACTAAGTACTTTATTTACATTTTTTAATTAAAAAAGAGAAATTAAAAAGAAGCTATGTGGCATAAAGTTCCACGCTTCACTGAAGGTTTGCTGCTTTTTTCATTACCCTCAAATTCCCCGGTTTTGAAATAATAGTCATTTTTTGAAGCTGACGAGCAGAAAGCCTTCACAAATTTAGGAAATTAAGACAAACAAAAGCAACGTGATGCAACCAAATGTGTCGTTTACAAAAGGAGACCATATTTGTGAGAGGAAGGACACCTTTTTGTGCAAACTGAAAACTTTTATTTTAAATTAAACTCTGCTGTTTGACAAAGTGAAACTGGAAATTAGAATTTATTATTAGGGTAGTTAGTTATTGTTGGGGGGAATAATAATAATTTAGACATTTAAATGAAGGAAACTGAACAGTTTCTGCCAAAATAAGTTGTTTTTACTTATTTAATATTTTTAATAAGCTCCTTAAATTGGATAAAATGGTTCCTTTTGCAATTTTTTTGGCAGATTCCTACATTTTCTGGTGTCGTCCTGACCAACTGTTTCTTTGAAAACTGGCAGCAGAAATATTTGCTGCTTGAGCCAAATGATTCTCCTACAATCTTCCACCAAAAATCCTTGTCCAAGCAAAGCTTAATAAAAAATCTGAGGCTGTCTTTATGTGTTTCTGAATCAAGAGTTTTAAAAAGTAGCTGTTTACATTATAAATACTATTCAACCCAGTGGATTAAAACGTTTGTGCTTCGTTTCAGAGATGTTGCTAGGAAGTGAGGATGGAGGAAGGCTAAAGATTGTTTTGTATGTCAGGGTGAAAATGGCTGATCGATTGGGGACTAATTAAATATAAAACTAGTTCACGGGGTGAGGATGAGAATTACAAGTTTGATGCATTTATCCTTTAGCTTAGAAGATGAACAAAACTACTGATGGAGTTGTTAGAGGGTGGTACCACATCTTAAAAACACTTAAAGTAAAAATTGCTGTAGCGCTACAACACATGCTGCTACAGCTACCAGCTACCCATGCTTTCTGCTCATGAAGCTGTCCGCTCTCTGCCGCCCCCCGAAGGCCGCAGCAGGATGTTGCATCTCAGATGTTTATCCTGATGACGAGCATCTTACCTGTTCGACATCTCTCCCAGAAGCCCTGCGTTCCCACCCACCCTCAGGATAAACACGTTACAGAAACATTTGTTGTTGTTGTTGAACGTAAAGATTCGTAAACAGAAACCAAAGCCGAGCTGCGGAGGCTGACATGGCCACCAGGTGGTGCATGTTAGCGACGGAGCAGACATGCCATGACAAACTGATGCAGAGAGGTGATCAGAGAGAGGAGGAGCGGGTTAGAAGGAGGCGGGATGGGGGGAGGGGTCACACAGCCAGGACGTCTCTCTTTGATTGGTCAGATTAAAGCCGCGGCGGCCCGATTATGATGACAACCTACAAATATTCAGCAGATTTAACCTCTAACCTACACTTGTCTCTGTAGCTTCAATCACCCACAGAAGTGATGTCTGCTAGTCCTGCTCGTTAACACGCCATGGTGCTTCAACTGGAGTCGACATTTTACTTTAAAATGCTGAAATATTTCTATGTTTWCATTTGAAATAAACAATAAACTATTAAATAAAACTAGAAGTGGTTCTCACAGTTGGTTGGTCCTAAATCACATCTCCAAATATCAACTTACATTTACAAATGATAGATTTTCACAATAAATGTTACAATAAAATAAAAAAGCTGTCATAAATTGTTTAAAAAATGATGTCACGGTAGCTAAAACTGGTTTTGTTGTTATTATGTTCTTGATTTAGAGGATATTAGGAAGGATTTTTTGTTTAAAGCAGAAAYAAATGATGTTACAAGTGTTGGTATCAGTTTGTGGGTTGGAGGCTGAAAGGTTTGGGCACCAATGAAGATAAATGTTTTTATTCTTATGACCCATATCGAACCTCTGACACTAAACACTGAATTAGTCATAAACAGCCAGAACTCTCTCACAGAGGTGTGTAAAGTACTTAAAAGAAATAACTAAGTACAAATACTTTAACAGTAAAGGACTTTAGTAAAATTAATTTTACTAAATAAAACTGTTCACAATAACTGGGAAAGTAAGTTAAAGTATTTTTACACACTTTACTGAACCAAACTGTTTCCACTGAAGCCAGTTGTGTAAATTGAGCAATTTACTCGTTTTGTTTTAAAGAATATATGTAAATTTACATTTGCTCAACTTGGTTTAGTGGAATCAGTTAACATATCTTGGTGAAGTAAAATCAACACTTCCTTTTTTAGAGTGCATAAACGACTCATTTCATGATGAGTTCTGGTCATATTTTTAATTTCTGTATTTTGTTTTGTTACATAAAGATAATTATAGGGATTATTTCTC